TGTTTACTGAAGAAAGGTGTGCCCGACAAGTTTGTAACCATACTGAAAGAGCTTTTCAGTCACACGTTGGGCAAAGTCATGGCTTACGGCACGCTCTTCTTCATTTGCTGTGACCAGCGGTGTTCACCAAGGTTGCCCTATTTTACCTTTCCTCTTCAATTTTTCAGTCAAAGATGTCGTCCAAGGAGCAATGGAGCGAGTCCAGAACTGCGGTGTTGAGCTTCTCCCTGGAGACAGAGTCACAGAGTTAGACTACGCTGATGATATCACCTTGCTGGGGGACGACCCACAAACCGTTCAGACCTTGTTTGGACCCCTTAGCGATGGAGGTGTCTATTTACGGCCTATACTTCACTCCGGAAAAATGTAAAACGCTGCTCCAGAGTTGGCAGGTGCCTGAACCCGCGCACACCATTGCTGGATATGCTTTGGAGCAAGTCCCTTCCTTTGCTTATTTAGGGATTTGCATTACGGCGGTGTTGGGGACGAAGTCTCACAACGCATTGTCCGCATGGCCCGCCGTGTATTCACCAAAATAAGACACCTATGACATCGTCGTGATGTGTGTCTCAAGCTCAACTGCAGGGTGTACAATGCTTCCGTCCGTGCACTACTGTTGTACGGCTGTGAGATTTAGCATATTCGCTCGGAAGACATGAAGCGGTTGTCACTCTTCGACAATCGCTGTCTATGAAGATTGTTTGGGTTTGGTGGCAACACTACGTAAACAAAGCAGAGGTCCGAGACCGAGTGCTTGAAGCGATTGCTGCCAGAACCTCATTCTCCACACCGCATGCGTTGGCTCGGCCACTTATTGCACCTTCCCAGCCGAGGGTTATTTGCGCTCCCCGGAAGCGATTGGAAAATGTGTTGCTGTGGGACAACCAATGACATGGAGAAGGAGCATGAGGAATGCAACCTCAAGCTTAACATCGGTCGGAAGAGCCTGCCTTCCAGGATGGGGACCATGCGATTCGGACTGCCATTGGTTAGAAACGTTGAAGGCTATGGCGCGCAACCGGCATTAGTGGAGTGAGTGCTGTTCAACCGTGTTATCTATTAGTTAACGTCAGAGAATATAAAACCCGTAAACTAAAATATCCAAAAACGCCCTTGTGTAAAATCGAAAAAAGCCGTTTTCTTCATATTGTACTTTGTTTCCTCCTTTATTTCGCCATGGTTCTGATGGCACATTATCTGTAATCAGATCGTTACTATATATATATATATATATATATATATATATATATATATATATTGCCCCATGCATAAAATAGGTCTTTTTAAGCTGGAGCAATTTAATCACTATTTTTTTTGTTCTTCCTACCTGAATAATTTTCTATTAACTGGACGTTGCTTACCCTAATTGCGCTCATCTTCGGTAATTTTGTTGCGTTTGTAGCATTTTTAAGTAACTTGTGGACATTTCTTACTTATGGCGGGTTCGTTGCTAACCAACTTATTTCATACGGTAATTTAGGGAAGTCATGCCACCGTATCTGTATGCATAATTGGATTTATTTTCTTTCAATTTGTCGTTTAAGGTGAATGGCTGTTGCTTGATATCCCCGGTGTGGCTGCACTTGATGTTCATGTTGACAACGTGCCTACCTGTCTATCACCCACTAACTCGTTCATACTGGCTCCAGGAGACAGTAGGTTGTTGCTGGAGGGGACTGGGTGCACGGTCCTTGTGGCCGTGCCAGACTCGAAGAGCGGTTCCATGCACTCAGTGTGGAGCGGACTACGGTCCAGCCACCGCCTTGTGTGCGCTTGATTTCCCAAATAGAGCGTGCTTGTGTTTGCCTGTGAAGGAGTGTGGGCCGGCTCCGTTCATGATACGTGGCTCCCATCCACATGCCTCCCGGTCTTATTCCTTCGGGTTTACACTGGATATGGGGTGTGTGGATGGAGGTGTGTGTGGTGCAGCGCAAGCCATCCATGGTCCCTCTGTAGGCGAAGGCGTGCTGTGGCTTGCCACAGTGACAGGCAAAGCCGAAACCGTATGCCGCCAACGATATATATATATATATATATATATATATATATATATATATATATATATATATATATGGAACACTCTTCGCTTTGTTACTTGAACGGATATGTCGGATTTATTCTAGCTAACTGAAGACTTTTGAATTAGGACCCACAGTGACGCACGTAAATTTGTGCAGAGGAGTGAGAAATCTGCTTCGAGTTTCTATGAGCATTAATCATGACAACGTTTTATTTGATTTCACCTATACAATCTCACTCCCATGATCATTCCTTTTAGCACAGTTACTCTATCGCTTTGCTCATGCGTATTTTAGTTAGCCCATTTATGTAATATTTAGATCTCAATTTCCTCTATTACCAACCTATTGGACAGGTTAAGCCTGTTCTTTTCTATCCAATATGAACCATTTTTCCATTACTGGTCGTTTGCAGTTCAATGATAAACACGGAATACAACCAAGGCGGTTGTACTAATCGAAAGTAGCGGCATCTATTTCATAGCAGACCGTGAGTCGAATTGGGATGGCGTAGCGCAATCCAAACACTCGATGAGCAATTCGAGACCCAACAGTGAGTACAGACAAGTTCATTTTGAGGTAGTTGATTTTCTCAGCGTCACCTCGGTTAGCAAACGCTTTGGCTGAATGAATAAAATAGGTGAAATAGTAGTGCTTCCAGACTGTATTAGGATAAGGTACGGATTGCTTTTATCTAAAAGAGGCTTGAAAATCGATGAGGTCCAAATAATGTGATCGTAGTTACAACTTGTTCGGACGAAGACATCAGTGGAAGCAGGAAGAGCATCTTTAGACAATAACGGCCGTATTTGTACTATGCGGTTTATCCGCGATAGCATCAACCATGTCCGTCGCGATGTTTGTGTCTCCACATGCGATTAACCCAGTAGAGTGGCACTACTAAAATACTTCGCACCTGCTTCCATTTGACTGGTTTGATATATAACTAGTAAGATATGTCTACTTTTGTATCGCTTTCTTTTACAGATCCGTGACTATTTTTTATAAGGTGCATCTAATATCACTTTATTTGTGTGCCAATCCCATCCAAGCCGATATATGCTTCTCGTACAGAACTGTGTTCTCCTCCTCTCTCTTATGTTGCAATCTGTTGTCCAGAACGGATATCGTGCGGAAAAAGGATTATCTGCATATTGCCTGTGGCATACGGTTCCTAACAAATCACTGAGCTGTGGTATACCTGATCAACTAGTAAACATGAATACCCCAAATGCAAATGATCCCCTGTCGGGTCATCCATTGTTTATCTTGAAGTCATTCCCTTGAGCTGCCACATTCAGTGGGACATAATCTAAAGTATACCAATGTTGGATGCACCCTGCTTTCTTTCCCCCCATCCGGATCAATAGTCACTCAATAACTGCTTGTTGCAACCGTATGTGTTCGCAGAAAGCGGTCAAAGCATGGGTGGGAGTAGTTGCTTGCGCTCCCAGATTCGAACAACATTCCTCGTGGTGCATACACTACTCACCTGGACATTTGGCTGTTGTGGCATTAGTATTGCGGTGATCAGAGCGACTAGCATATCTGAACAGGTGGCTGTGTGTGGTGATATCCGCTATACAATCGACGAAATTGAGAACACCACCATAGAACCAGGTGCACGTAACGAGCGCTTGCAATTTTCGAACGGTTGGTAGAAGCGACACGTAGTAGCAGTCTGGTGGTGATACCAAATAGTCTACACCCTTGTCGGTGTGCAAAGTGCATTAGAAAACATGAACCCGTCATATGCCATCCAGATGGCATGGAAGTACGAGTTTATAGTACGCTGTGACAAAACTGTAGAATTGGGCAGTCGGCTATCCATGCTGGGTTACTTCAATGTGATACCAAGGTCGAGCAAATGCTGTTCGACAGTCTTTGCGATATAGCTATTGGAAAAGGTGAGCGTCTGTGCTCACAGAATACGGTTCTGGACCTGACGGTCATGAGAACGCAGTTCCCGCCTGATGACAGTGATATTGCTACTAGGGCACATGCCACATTGTCACGCCCGTTGTTCTACTTCATCTGTGGGAACGTTCATATACCATGGGGATCTGCGAGTGGAATGGATGAGTAATTGGTGAAAATCCATCTGGTTCTTATGGACCATAATCGGGTGGAAATTTAGTGCGCATTCTCCTCGTAAGGATGAAGCGAATTGCGCTGGATGAAGCATGAACCGACGACACCGCATGCTGCCTGTCCCACCGGTTCAGTTAAAGTATGTGCTACCACCTGAGGGAGCAGCAGACCAATACAGCTAGCACTAAGTGGTCTGACTGGTCGAACAGCAATATAACATACATCAATACACTGAATTTATTGAATGGTGCATCATTTGATACACACGATCAATATCCGTCCAAAATGATGAGGCCGGATAAGTTGTACGCGCTATGTTAGCATCTAAAACGGCCTTTCCGATGCATCGAAATAATATCATGGGTGGCGAAAGCAAAATATATGCGACACTCGGATTTCTGTCGATTAATTGGTAACCTAAGTTTGAGAATCCATTGCTCCAGGGGCTGTCATGTTCTCAGCACAACAATAGCGTGCGGCACAGCAGTGATCGAGCCACGCAATGTGACATCTAGTCATGTCGCTTTCTACGGTCCTCGTAGCCAGATGGTTTCAATCATGGACTCATAACAGCAAGTTTTCGCTAATCAGCTCCAGTGGCATCGGATGGAATGCGCACTGCAGTAGATTCCTGAAAGAGTAAAACGGTCATCCAGGGATTTTTCGGTTGTTTGATAGAGTGGCGAATCCACTATCTACAAATTAAACCCCAAACAATTTCCTTCTACTTAGTAACTGGCACATACGTTGTGGTGCAACTAACTCACCAAGCTGTATCAGTGACGGTTGGTTGGGCCGGTGAAATGCAGTTATTTTGTCTCCAGCGAACCAATGGCAATGCCATTGCTCCGCGGGCGCACAGCCTACCCGCTACCCTTGAGTCGTCCTGTCACGTGAGGTGAGGTGGATGGGGAGGGTGCACAATTGTCTACCACAGAAGTCCGACGTCTGTTCCGATGGTGATGTACACACGGGGCGTGAATGGTATTTAGCCACAAACAAGCGTAACAAGTTGCACACGTACACATTCGAGGTGAGCGCGATTAAGGCACGTTAGAGTAAATGCAAGCACGGAAGGCTGAGATGAGCTACCGCGTTGGAGTAGCTACTGTTCAGCATTTAGCCGTTCGGTAGAGACAAACAGACGCAGTGATTGGGTGACGAGAACCAGATACAAGAAAGACGATTGCTCCCAAAATATATTTGTCAGGTCGGCGAACTGCAGTGGCTAATTTGGTGCACATAAGACTGTGTATGCCGGGATCAGTCGCCGACAGTTTTGCATTGTTATTCGGCCAGCTAGTCCATTCAACCATTTTTCCAAAACCACAGGAAGATGGAGACAGCAAGTGGAATTCGAGCGATGGAGATCAACCGCGCAGGATAGAAGCTAAATCCTCCTTGAACTTGTCAACCTCCGTGTTGAAATTCGGTATACAGTCCATTTTGAGCACTGAATGTTCTTCTGATGCTCAATTTCATTGGTGCGCCGAAGAAAATGTTAAAAAGCGATTTAAAAATAGAATCACCCCATTTGCCTTCACTAACGTCACAAAAGAATACAAATATAATGAAAAGACCGAGATAAAAACGCCGAGGTGTTCCGAGAGCTGCATATGCGGTTTGCCCACTGAGCCGCCTCAAGATGGGTTATTCGCCTACCGGCAGAAGGCTCAAAATGCATATAGTCCAACTTCCAGGTGGCAGAAGAGGAACAAGGAGACGGCGACGTCCTTCCAAAATGAAAAATTGGATGAAACGTTCATTGATCGAATCCAGAAAGCAAAATGTATGACGCAAGTAAGAAGTTGCGTTGAATTCATTGGTCATTGACACGTTACACCTCATCCATCTCAACTAAAGTTATTCAGGATGGATTAATGTAAGTGGCCAAGAGGGCCACGCTTTGCCAATTTTACGCAGCATGTACTTCTGCACCTAAAGGTTTTCCAATAACTACGTCTACCATCCTTGACATTCATTTTGAGTTTAACCGACTATCTAATACGGAGGAATAACGGTGATAGTGAAACTAGTAGGGCCATTTTGGACTTAGATAATAAGCATAGAAGTTATTTTGAGAAACATGATCCAATAGTAGTTACCTTGAAGTCTAACAAGGTTAGTTTTAAAATCACGGGCTGTATGTATGTAATGTTATGGAAGAAAAAGCGCATTACCTTTTACGAGTGGGTTTTTTAACCGATGCTCATATGTGCATGTTTTTAAGCTTTAACAATAAGTACCTTTTTTGCTTGTGCATAAAACAGGCCCAGAGTAATGTAACATTTACGACAGATTCGTAGGATTAAGCTGCTAACTCGGCGTTCATTCAGCACGCTAAATGTAATACAGATTAACAACAGCTCAAGGTTGCACTACGGTTTTGATGTTCAGGGATGTTAAAAAGATATATATATATATATATATATGTATATATGCATAGGAAAGGAACAATGTTGGATAAAACAACATTGCTCAACTAATTAACATGTCATTTAATTGCCCACGACATAATGTTGCGGGTAAGCACGAGCTGTACACAATTAATAACTCCGTCCTAAAGCAACAGACAGAAAATATAAATCCACTTACGGCGATATCAGTACTTTACACGGAAAATACTGTCAAAGAACTGGACAGTATGCTGCGTTTTCCTTTAGTTACAAGGGAGCAGCGGCAGGATTTGAATGGTATAAGTAGAGAATTTTCACATCTAGACCCTGTAAGACAACCATCACACGTCCGGTAAAGCATTGTACTGACGAGTTCCGGAGCAAATGTATCCCAGCACTGTGCTTCACGACCGGAGCTCCAGTCTAGTGACCCAGGTGTAGGCAGTCCGCCACTATGAGTCAAGATTCACTCTCAGCTCAAACTACTAAGAGACGAAATAAGGACGAAACCGGTCGTGGAGCGCAGTGTTGGGGGAGAGCAGCTGCGCAACTCTCCACTGTAGGGACGTTTCATGCTTACAAGAATCGTCAGTATTGCTGGTTGTAGCGGACGCATATGCGAAGTAGAATTCGTGACTGGACTGATACCAGACTTTGATTAGGAACAGTTAGGTACGAGGGGCGAAAACGAGCGGTTTATAACGTCGTAATTTAATGGACGGCTTAAGTTTGCTACGTTGGTTGCTTGGTGTGGTGGTTATACTGTCCTCTACACCACGGTCATGCTCAAGTCAGTGGATAATGAGCGACACTACATCAGTTGTAGTAAACTAGTCACATCTGTCGTTGCCTTCCCCTATAGCGCAGTGGTCATAACCACAGACTGGTGACAGCTGAGTTGCGCCTTCGAGCCCCACAACGGTCAGATAGAGTGCGCACTATTGACGATTCCCAAAAGGAGGAAACGTCCATACAGTGCTTGCCAGGACATGTGATGGCTGTCTGAGCAAGTCCAGATATGATAAAACTCTACTTATCACACTTTCCAAGAATATCTTTTCTAACCAGCTGGTGGTAACAGTTAGGTAGGTACTCCGAAAGCCCTAGCAACTTTAGCTATAGCTTTACTAGATGTATCTCCGAAAGTTGCGTTATCCACTAACTAGTAACTTGATCCGTCTCTGTCTAAAACACTCAGCATAAATGAGAGTCAGAGTCGAATTTGGTAACCAGCCACAGTCTGTTCATTTGTTCTATTTGGGTACTCTTCAAAGACAGAAATCTTGTCAGACGAAAGGTACTATGTTGTTGTATGGATGAAGCTGCCAATATTATTCCACTGATTAAAAACCTCCACTTTCACTATGGACTCCATTTTTCAGGTAGTGTCGAGCATGGCCCCCATTGTGAATGGCTTTAATGGCCAGGTGGAGTTCGTGAACAATGGCGCGGGAATAAAGAATCCTTTGGCATATGCGACCAAGGTGGAACGGGAAGTACTCAGTCAGTTATATGGTAGGTTGTATGAATTTATTCCTTAGTTTTATGAATGAGCTAGCCAACGCTGAACTATGAGTAATTGCCGGTGGAGTATGAGTTGTAGAAATTCAGCTACTTGTTCCAGGCAAATTTCTCCGCGGCTGTTTCTCACAGTCGGATATCATAAGATGTTGCCATACGGATGAAACAAGTCGGGTGTTCAAGCGCTTATTCAAGGCGTCACAGAAGTCAGTTTCGTCAGAGAGATAGAGAGAGAGGGAGAGGGAGAGAAAGAGAAAGAGAGAGACGGAACACTTTAAGGCCCAAAAACTCAGAGTCAATATCTTCTTCAGCTTCATCCTCAACTGCATATGCCAGAGTTGTAACATTAGCCGACAGCTTGGGACCAAGCTGGGAGGTCCCGTAACAAAGGCCATGTTGTGCCATCGGTTAGTTTTGCTAAGGCATGGCTACTCGCTGTACCATGAAATCTCCGGATGAATTGGGATAACAAAAGTTATTAAAGAGCATTACGGATATTGGTTACTGGACCACTAGGATAGCATTTAAGCACGGTAGAGCGCAGCTGTTTTTGTTAAAAAATTGTAAATAGGCAAAAGTATTTTATTAAAAGGCTAGCTTTCTAAACCTTCTTAACTAACTTACTTATACTGGATGATCACCAAACCATGCAAAATATCCCAAGTTAGTAAGAGTGGGGGTTTGGTGTGTTTATTCGTAACGCAAAATATCTCTGCAAGTGGTTTGCTTCGACACACTGTGGCCATCACAAGGGAGATGTTCTATCAACAACTCACGGTAGTTGGGTGCCAAGAGTATAACTAAGACTTTGTAGGATGTACCATGTCCGCTGTGCTATTATGAATTGAAATTTGTCTACAGTCTCTGTTGAAATACACAAACACATTGCACAGTAATTTAGTGTGGCTCAGTGAATTTGAGGAAGGTTGTGGACAAAAGTCACTACCGTTCTTCACAAGACTAGTGGTCAACTAGTTGTGGGGTTCGGAAAGAAGTGAACAATAAAGTGATCCAATTTTAATTCTTTCGCTCACTCTCATATGCTTTTGCGGGTCTGCTTAGAAGTCTCTCATGAGAACACAGTACATAGGTAGAGGCCCAAGCCAGTTTGCCAAGCAGATGAAATCGTTGCACTGACGGTGAATGGATTGAAAATTCTCGGTAACACAACACATTATAGACAGTGATTCGACTAATAAAACGCACTATAATTGTAAGCAACAATCGGAACTGCACGATGTCGATATTGCTGAAGATGCGCGGAGAGCTGGGTCTTGGTTCGCTCGACCGGCAAATTGCCAGTTACGCTAGATATACAGAGTACGCCCAAATCTTTTGACTAGCTGAGCATGTAGATGAAAAACCAGTAGTTTAGTTGCAAGATATCACAAGTGGAGGTGAAATGACACAAGTTATCAAGGAAGGCCAATGGCAAGCTGCACGGCTGGAACCATTCTATTTGGGGACCGTACCTTTGTCATCTCTCATCAGTAGTAGCGCAATGCCAGTATACCCATTAATTGGTAAGTTCAGTATAGGATTACTCTGTTAGGCATGATCGATTTTTATTTGAGTATTCTCTTCATATGATTTCATGATCCTCAACGGATATACTGCTCCCAGTTGTCCACACAATTCCTCCTCCATTCTCATCTCATTACTCCCGTTCGTGAAATCGTCTGCGATTTGTCACCTATTGGTTGCTGTTGCATTAATTATGCACGTTTTATTCCTTCTAAAAGGAAGTGCTTTACAGTGACTCATTATTTGGCTATCTGCGTCGTCCCTGTCCCGCAGACTCATTGCCTTGGTGTAAAATCCTGCTTAATTGTGCTAGAACCAAAACTGTCTGTCAAGCTTATCTTTTCCTGCTGTAGTTCTGATAGGAACTCTCAGCTGGGATGAGGATTATTTATCTTAATCCAAGTGCTTTTACGAATTTGACAGCCGTACTTGTTTCAACTAGTTGTTATGCAGGTGTCCATGCTGAGATAGATGAAATATACATTGCCCACTGTCGCCTCAGTCAGATTACAGTTGCATGGTCGACTGATACTAGACGGACGCATAAGCCCGTCGGCTAGTTGCATTGGATGCACACTGAAAAGGTGTCTACTAGTCCGATTTTATCGAATCGATTAGTGGCTCTAGCAAACGAAGTACACGGTTTTTGTGAAAGCACTGGATTCGAATAGTGCTTTCGAAATGAAACGGGCTTTACCCGACGGCCGACATGTTCACGTCTATCTTGCATGTTGCTCAACAGTTTACTTCAGTAAAGTGCGTCTTGAAATGGTATGGGTCTTCTCCCAAACAGTCAAGACTTTTATTCGTACATCTCTGTCTTATTACCTCAAGTATGCACTTGGATAATAAGAATGCGGATGGAGTTGTAAATGGCACAGCACAGGGTCCACAAGATCCGTCTGTAGATGCAGATTGTCTGTGACTGCTTTTACACATAATGATGGAAAATCGTGGAGACGGTCGCAGTCAGTCGTAATTAGAATGCTGTTGTAGTCACCCTTAGCGTAATCCACCGAGGCTGCTTGTTCCGAGTAAAGGCTGTCCGAAGAGATTTCTCCCACATTCATGTGGCTAGAAAGGGTGGTCTGTTTGAACAACCGGAACCGAGAGCTTTTCGACTGTATTAACGCTTCATGGGAACTTTTGCTTTTTTGCCAAAAACTCTACAACGAAGTATACAATTTGAACGTCGCATTGCTTTACCAGCACATTTAAATCGGCTCTTTTTATTTTATCAGGAACTGTTGGCAGGTCTTGAAGTAATTTGGGAAAATGCTACACAGATACACCCAAACAGATTATCACAAGCACGAGAAGGCGCTGCATGCTTGTTTATTAGCACTGAGAGCTAATCCTGTCACTCTCATGATGTTGAGATGCACGGTAATTTAGGATGAACAACTTTATGCCTCGTCTGGCGACTTAGTTATGACGACTGCCAACACCACAACCATCACTCGTGACTCAGTGGCCTGGCTTTCTACCTCGTTAGAGGATGGTCGAACGAAAAGAGTGCAGCAGGCAGTGTAGTGACTACATGACTGAATGTAGTTGCGGTAGATTACCTCAGAACATTTGTACGTTATGTACTACTAGTCATCGCTGTGTAGCGCATCATTCCAATTGGCACAGATGAATAGCGAATAGGAAAATCAGCAGACCTAGTCTGTGGGACGACGTTGCCATTTCTTGCATTCTTATTAATCACAAAGTGAATGGATTTGGACAACCCTCCACGAAATGCCGTGGTTATGTTTACTCTAACAAACTTGATGCATCTTACATCCACAGGTAAGCAAGTCGGACAGCATGAGTATTTGTGCAAGGCGTGTGGCAAACGCTTTCCTCTCTTCCGTCTGCTAACACGTCACGTAAAGTGCCACAGCCAGACGCGGCGGTATCTGTGCTCCTATTGCCTCAAAGGGTTCAACGACACCTTTGATCTCAAGCGGCATACTAGAACACATACAGGTAAATGGCTAGATTTATTTCACTCGAACTATCTCCCCGAAATCAGATTAGCCAGAATCAGTGAACCAATTGTTGGATTTACATTTTCGGCTCTTTGCTTTCCTTCATGTTCTCCCAACCCGTGGGTTCAGCTTCAAGGGGAATGCACCTTGTCTACCACCGAATTCTACCTGCTCCCATATCATGCCTTTGAAGCGAAACCCTGTTAACTTGAAAGTTAACTCAAATGTTGATATTCAAGGCCGGCTGCATTCAGAGTTCTCTAGTTGGCTTTAATGCATTTTTAATATTTAATCCTAACCATCCAGTTCCCTAAACATCCAGCTAATGCAGGTAAGCCCTGCTTGAAGTTGGATTTGTGCTCTCGTAGATGGTTGGCATACGGACTATTTTTGCCCGTTTGAATCCGCAGCTGACGACATTCACGAGGCCGATAACAGTTCTGTGAGCCCAATGGTGTGGTTAGGTGGAGTCGGCCTTCTGTAGCATTGTATTAAGCTAGAGAGATGTATATCACTTAGAATGAGTGTTTGGCTCAGCGGTATCACGAAGTGCAATAGAGGGAATATATGAAGTGGCATAGAGCTTCCTACACACATACACAACGGATGTTACATGGGACGCTGCAGAAAACTTTGCACGACTCAGTGTGCTTTTTTGCATATATATATATATATATATATATATATACATATATTGGTTCATCAAACTTAGAAACAATAAGTAGCCAACAAAAGAGGGACACTGGAGACATTTAGCCGTTTCTAAATGCTCACAAACGCAGGAAGATGCACCGTTGGTGGTACTTGACTACTAAATTTGTGCTTTCCTCACAGATCGCTCAGTGACCAATTTGGATAAATGGCGCAGCACTTGGAAGATATGCTGAGAGTTTCCTACAGTTGGTTTTGTCCAACCAAGTGTTGTATTTCAATCATTTTAACGTTCTAGCTCATGCGCCCCAGAAATATGAAAACCTAGCTTTTGTGTGCTAACGTCGTCATTTGGTCATATCAGTCGACAGGGATAAATGACGTCCACTTGTTAAAGACTGCTCGTCGTAAAACAAGCATTGTTCTACATGGTGATCAGTTACGTATTGCCTTCATTAAGCACGGTTCATCTCAGAGTAACAAGTCTTTAAAGATGCTTCGTTAGTAATGTTTTTACCATGCTTTTGACCGACTGTACATTGAAACTGATGGCACCACTTCCGTGATGCATGCTACTTCAGTAAGTAAAACGGGTCTTTCCCTGGCTACCCATGACCCATCAAGCGGGGTAGATCTACGTTGCTAATGTAGCCAGGGATTTAGATTTAAGTTTCATAAAGCCCGAGGAAGATGCCACGACCGATTTGCGAAAGTCCACCAAAGTAGCGGTGCAGGGTTTTACTAATCTGTACAAAGAACGGAACGCATAAAGCCCTCATTGTCGCACTGACTACCAGTCGGGAGCACAATTCGCCTTATATGTGGTCAGTCGTCAATAAGCAAAGTACCAAAATCAGACTTCATTGGAGAATCCTTGCGTTGAGTTACATGGTGATAATGGCGGTGACACATGTCAGGACATGCTTGTTCGTCAACAATCACCTCGGCGTTGAATAAGAGGAGCGGTACAGAAGCCACTATGGTCCACAACGACAACACTAATGATATAGAAGAGCTCGTAGTTTTATGTCATAAGAACTGTAAGCCATTTCAATGGTTGCTACCACGGGAGACTTCTGCTTGAAGTGTCAAAAACAGAGCACAAGTTTATCAGTGATCCAAAGTTACTAAGATATTACACGAGGTTCACTTGAAAATTGGGCCCCATCAACCTCCAAGCATCTTAAATACCTCCTGGTCCCACAGTCTCCAAAGTTTCTTGGTTCGGAGTTGCAGCACATTTAGTTGTGTTGTTCATTCGAGAGTGATGGGATGTAAATGTTGTAGCCCACCGGAGGGCAGTGGACAAAAGTAAACGGGGGTGACTTAGCGATCAAAACGGATCGCGTTCATTGTCGCCCTTCAATCACCTGGATAGTTAGATGTACCTTTGTTTTGAGTATATGACTGTGTATGCTGCAGGTTGCTGATTACTACTTTATTTCATTCTAATCCAACAGTGTACCTTGGTATACTCCCTACGAGCCAAGGTGACGTTGGCGGGTAAAAAAAGAGAACGCTGGCCTATTAATCTGCTTGCCGGGTGAGATCGACTATTGTGTGTGGGTTCACTGATTACGGCCAAGTGGGATTCCTCGTTTGAGCCCACGCATGCGCTGAAGAAGCAAGATATCTGGGTGAAGTACGCAATGTCGAAGCAGTTCTCAGCAAGTCGAAATAGATGATATGAACAACGAGTAAGAACACCAACACTGATACTCTGGTAGTGGATATACGGGCTGAATCAAATACATGCTGACATAGTTCAAGGTCAAGTTTTCACTCAGTACAATTACGGCCAGTACAGTCTGTTAGCTGGGGTCGAAATAGCATAACTTACGTTTTCCTCTATCAAGAGTGATGGCCGATAACTAGTGCGCTTAGCAACCTCCAAGATGCACAATATCCTACCAGAATAAGGTGGGCTTCGTTTTGACCACTGTGAGCGTCCAGCGTAAGTACTCACTTCCCCGGGTAAATTTTGCTTCCGAAACACTGCGGAAGCGGAAGCGATGATGGGAGCAGTAGCTGTAAACTGCTTGACCTCGTTCGGCTTTGTTGGCTATATCCGTTGATAGCAAACTTATACATTGATAAACTAAGGCGTGTTATAGAAAACCAGCGGTTTGAAGCAAGGCGAGTTGTTCCACGGATTAGTGTCTTTAAAAATTATGCTAATAGGGATCTACGACGGTCATTACCCCTGTGACTTATAGGAGACCATAAACAGATGTAGTTTATTAGCGCTTCTCATTTCGTGACTAGCTAAAAACCACAACGTGTTAAGCACTAATAGAACGTACTTCTTTTCAGAAAATAATGCGACATGAAAAGTAAGGGACTTATCGCGTGTTCATGTATAATGGTCGTGAGTCCAGGTCAGGTCCAACGCGGAGTTGCTTGCGACAACGGATACCATTGAGAACGTGATGAAGAATCACGAGCTGGTTCTCCGGTCATCTAGTTTTGTGTGACGCGTCTTGACGCTACGTAAGTAGGTCCGTTTAGTGAGTGAGTGTGAGATAAATTACTTCTCCAATCACCAACGAGTTCGGATGCCACACTATCTTAATAAATAGTAGTTACATGTTGTATTGACCTTTGTGCGATGCCGTGATAATTGAGCGTAGATCACGTGGTGTGTTGAGTGGGCGTAAGGCGAATGTTAAAGGGATGTTAGTCAGATGAAAAGTACAATTCCTAATAACATGAATATTAAAAAGCGGTAAAGAGGGGTCTAATAAACCTCTGTCTGTATACTAATGGTGTAGCATCCATGGAGACTAGTGTTGCTTACACTATGAATCTAGAATCTATTTTGCTTAAAAATTATAAAAGTAGTGATTTTGGAGGCAATGCAGTTTATGATATTTCTCATACACCGTGTTAATCAGGCGAGTATTTTTCACCGACTGCATCCGTATCATATCACTCAGAGATTTGGGACTCCATAAGTTTCCTTTCTTTATCGACAGTTGAGTTCAGCTTTAAAACAAATACGATTTAACAGGCTTTTCGCAAGGACGGGTTTGCGGAGCAACTGGTACTTTGTGACAAGAATTGCTGGAGAATATCGCATAGTGACATGCGTTAACTCACGTAATGAGCCACTAGGCCCTGAGTTCCAGCCCAACTCAGGCTATCTCCAACTGATGAGTCCCAACAGGACGAAACCGCGGTCTTGGGGTGCCGGTGTTGGGACGAGCAACACTATAATTTTCATTTTACTTACGGTCTTTTTGATCGGAATGGCCGAGGTCCACATCAAGTGAACCGAGGTCTCAATTGAGGTTGCTTGTAGCAACCCAGCCACCAGCGGATTCTCCAAATTCAACTTTGCAATCTTTTCTGCTGGACCAAGCTTTGCTCGTGGATCTCAGTGGCATAGTGCTTATGGCGTCAACCATGAGCCACTAGGCCCTGAGTTCCAGCCCAACTCAGGCTATCTCCAACTGATGAGTCCCAACAGGACGAAACCGCGGTCTTGGGGTGCCGGTGTTGGGACGAGCAACACTATAATTTTCATTTTACTTACGGTCTTTTTGATCGGAATGGCCGAGGTCCACATCAAGTGAACCGAGGTCTCAATTGAGGTTGCTTGTAGCAACCCAGCCACCAGCGGATTCTCCAAATTCAACTTTGCAATCTTTTCTGCTGGACCAAGCTTTGCTCGTGGATCTCAGTGGCATAGTGCTTATGGCGTCAACCATGAGCCACTAGGCCCTGAGTTCCAGCCCAACTCAGGCTATCTCCAACTGATGAGTCCCAACAGGACGAAACCGCGGTCTTGGGGTGCCGGTTTTGGGACGAGCAACACTATAATTTTCATATAAAATACCAATTGAGGAGGTAGCTAGACAATGGTGTGTAACTGTATTTCAAGAAGCCGCATGCGTAAAACAGTTATGACTTTCTTTAGGCCGAAAAACGGAGCAAATAAGATAAGTTTGTATTACGAAATGAATAAGTGCGAAAGAGTAAAATTTTAAATTTGCAGCGTGTGTAAGAGACAAATAACATTTGTGAGAGAGCATTATTTAGCCAATAAAGGGGTCGCTTAGGAACTTAGAAGAAAAATGCATGCAAATGTCAAAATGCATGGGAATAACGCAAGCAGTTAGGGAATCTCTTGGCAAGCAGCTACATCTGGAAGTGTATCTAATCGTTTACACATTCTAAAGAAAGTCCTTTGCAGATGTTTAGAGGAGATCACCGGCGAACAGTACAACCAATGTGGTATGATACATGGAGTTACAAATCACAACATTAGGATTCGAGACACGCACAGAACCTGCGTGGACCAAGAGAGCTGTGTGACAAGCAGACACAGTGATTTTTGACAGTGAATAAAATAAGCATGGTTTTGTCCTTCAAGGTTATTAGAGTAGAGGCAGTTAT